TTCTATAAACCTAGTGATTAATTTTCAAGGACACATTTACCTAGGATTCACAATGACTAAATTTGTAACATCTTGCTTAACAATATTACTTAACATCTTGCTTAACAACATTACTTTGCATCCATTTCTAGAGAAATTGATTATTCTTTCTCTTAATTTTAATATTTAAGTTATTTAAATCCTCTCAGAATATGGTTGTCTGAAGTTTGTATTATCTGAGAGCTATTAAATTTGGTACACTGTTGTTGTTTGAATCCTTATATATACTATGATTCTGTACATTAAAAATGTATATGAAGTCTGGGCACTGACGATCATACCTATAATCTTAGCTACTGAGGAGGCTAAGCTCTAAGGATTACAATACAAAGCCAGCATAGGCAGGAAAGTAATTGAGACTCTGATCTCCAATTAACTACCAAAATGACTAGAAATATGACTCCAGCCTTGAGCACAAAGAAGCTCAGGGGCAGCACCCAGGCCCTGAGTTCAAGCCCCAGGACTGCCCTCTACAAGTGCATATGAAAATGCAAATGTTGCCGGGTGCCAGTGGCTCACGTCTGTAATCCTAGCTACTCAGGAGGCTGAGATCTGAGGATCGCGGTTCAAAGCCAGCTCAGGCAGGAAAGTCCGTGAAACTCTTATCTCCAATAAACCACTTGAAAACCGGAAGTGGTGCTGTGGCTCAAGCGGTAGAGTGCTAGCCTTGAGCTGAAGACCTGAGGGACAGGGCCCAAGCCCAGAGTTCAAGCTCCACGACTGACCCCACCCCCACCACCAAAAAAAATGGAAATGTAAAAAAATACTAGTTTAGAATTCGAAAATATAGAAAAGAATGAAAAATCAAATGAAATGACATAGTGGTGTATTCCTACAATTTAAGTATTTGAGAAGCTGAAGCAGGAAGATTGTGAGCTTGATACCAGCCTGTACTATATAGAGCTCATTTTTCAATTAATGAAGTAATACATACATGCATGCATGCATACACACCCAGATACCTCCCATAGGCAGCCACTCTCAGCCCATTTTAACAAACTTCATCCAGTCTTTTACCAATGCAAATGAACTTTTAAATTTAATGTAGTTATAAATATGTCAGATATACTGATAGATTTTTTTTTGGTTGGTTGTGGGTCTTGAACTCTGGGCCTGGGTGCTGTTGCTAAACTCTTCAGCTAAAGGCGAGTGCTCTACCACTTGAGCCACAGTGCCACTTCTGGTTTGCTGGTGGTTAATTGGAGATAAGAGTCTAACAGACTTTCCTGCCCAGACTGGCTTTGAACCATGATCCTCAGATCTCCTGAGCAGCTAGGAGCCACCAGTGCCCGGCTTGATAGATATTTTGCCTTTTGTTTCACTTTAAATTATAATGTATTTCAAACAATTTTGTTTCCTATGTTATAAGCATTTCCCTAATATAACTCCTAGGATTTTGTTATTTTTAACAATGCTATAATGTATAATTTTTACATAGTTTTGTAATAAGTTATTTGTTAGACTAAATTTTAAAAATAGATGAATCTATTTATTAAGTAAACTTCTATAGTACCACTTTATGCCAGGCACTGTCCCAAGAACTTCATAAGAATTGCACTGCTCAAAAAAAAAAAAAGGAAGGAAGGAAGGAAGGAAGGAAAGGAGGAAGGAAGGAAGGAACAAAGAGAGAGAGAGAAGAAAGAAGGAAGGAAGAAAGGAAGGAAGGAGGAAATTGCTTGTTAGCTGGACACCAGTGACTCACACCTGTAATCCTAGCTACTCAGGAAGCTGAGATCTGAGGATAAAGATTTGAAGCCAACCTGGACAGAAAAGTCCCTATGAGATTCTTAACCCTAATCAACCACTCAAAAAACGGAAGTGGTGCTGTGTCTCAAAGTGGTAGAGTGCTAGCCTTGAGCAAAAGAGGTCAGGGAGAGCATTCAGGCCCTGAGTTCAAACCTCATAACTAACAAAAATAATAATAATTGCATTGTTCATTTAATAGTAATAATCTAATAATGTAGGCACCAATATTTTTACATTTTAAAGATGAAAAGATTTAGACTTGGTAACTTAAATCACCTCAGATCACACTGTTGTGGAGTGAAGCCAGATTCAAATACAGGTCCATGGATTTCCTAGATTATAAAGTACTCTACATTAAAGAAAATAAAGATCTTGAAAAGCCCTTGACCCATATTCCTATCTATAAGGAAACTTCAAGATGCACTAATGTTATGGTTTTTATTTTTTTATTTTAATGGGTTAGAAATGGAATCTAATATATTTTAAAGTATTAGTTGATCATTAGTGATTTTGAATGAGCTTTGAATTGGTATTCCCTTTCTATATATTGAGGTCTTGTGCTTTTCTCTCATAATCTTGTCATTGATAATTTCTCTATTAAAATATACTTAATATAGTGCTGCTTCTTGTATTTTTCTAACCAGTTATTTATTTAAAAAATAAAGCTGGGCCTATGCCTTTCATCCTAACCACTCAGGAGGCTGAGATCTGAGGATTGTGATTCAAAGCCAGTGTGGGCAGAAAAGCCCATGAGACTTATATCTCCAATTAACTACTAAAAACTGGAAGTGAAGTTGTGTCTGAAGTGGTAGAGAGCTAGCCTTGAACAAAAAAAGCTCAGAGACAGTGCCCAGGGCCTGATTCAAGCCCCGGGATCTGCACATTAAATAAATAAATTAAGTAAGTAATTTTTGATGTACAGAAGGACATACAAGTCCTGTCTACTCTTGGCTCTAGGACCTTTTTGAGCTAAAACTAAAAGGAGCCATGCTATCTCATAATCTATCCCATTTCTGAAGACCACAGAAAATGCTTTCATCATTCCCTTGTCAGTCATTTTCATAGTTCAAAATCCCTATTTAGGAAGCCCTCCTCTCTCTAGCCTAATGCTTTCCTTTTGCTTCTGTTTAGTCTTACCTTGTTTTATGAGAGGGAAAAACAGCTGATGGTAATATTTGAGAAAGGATATCCCCAGGATTTTTTCTTGTGTGTCTCTCTTTTCAGCATTCTTTTGATTCAACCTCCTACATCATAACATAATTTTTTGTTTTAGGAATGTGTTCTTTGATCTGCACTTTGGCTTGTAATTATATGGACTTTTTCCTGTTTTCATTTAAAAAAAATTTTCCCTCTTTTTGGGTGCTGAAGTTTGACCTACACATTGACTTTCAAATGCAAATTGTATGTGCTTATTTAGTTGTTCTTATCATAACTTACCTCCGTGTCTTTAGTTAATATCTTTCTTAGTTTTTATTTCTTGTCTTGTTAATGAGGAGATAAGAATAGTAAGAAAGTCTGAGGAAATAGGCTAAGAAGATTAATGATTGTCTTTAGATCTCAAAGGCTTATTCCCTTACATACAAAGGATAATAAATCACTTTTTTTCGTGATGGTGGTATAGATCAATCCCAGGGCCTGGTGATGCCACACAAGAACCCTACCACTGAGCCTCACTCAGCACTAATAAATCATTCCTTACTATTCCTTCCTGTGTATTAAACCAAAGAACGAGAAGCTAGAAGGAACTATATTATCAGCTTTAAGGAAAACTGTGTGTGTGTGTGTGTGCGTGTGTGTGTGTTCCCAGCAAAATGGGGCATTCATTAATGGTATAAGGTATAACTGCCCGTAGAGGTGGTAGTACCCCAGACACCCTGATGTAGAGGGAAATGCATTCTAAGGATGAAGAATGCTTCAGCTTTCATTTATTAGCTAAATGACCTTAGCAAAGTTACTTCAGCTTGTTGAAACTGCAAATGGAGATAGGATCTGTTTTATTGAACTATAGTGGATTAGGTGAGATACTATGTGCTCTATAAACTACAATGGATAAATAACTTTGACATAGTAGATAATTTCTAAGTACATATGTCTCTGAAATAATGGTAAGTAATTTCATTATCCTTGTCAACAAGGGCATCTTCTCTCCCAGAAAATATCCGAACATCAGATGTCTCATCTGGACTAGTTCATCCTCATGCTCCATGAAATCGTCGCTCTAACCTGTGTCCGTGCTTCTATGGCAGACCATTTCCATTCCTAGCACCAGAATGGGGTAAGACATGATTTCCACAATCCTCTCCCAATTTGGGTATGTACCGCTCATGCAACCATTGCCCAATTGAAGGATATTGGGTTATTTCCAGGGCAAAAATGAACAGTGGGGTCAGAATTATTGCCTGTTACTCTCACCTACTGGGAGAAATTTAGGTAGAAATTCTGGCCTTCTAATTATAGCCTGAGACTGTAAGCACTTGCAACAGGCACTTGCAAATCATAATTGTACCCACTCATTTTTATCTTAGTGAAGTATTGAAGTATAGCTGTACCAACTCAGAAGAGCTCACTGTTAATTCTTCATGAATTTTGAAAATTGGTTGTTAAACACAGTCAACTATTAAATTATATAAACATATAAATAACCTATAATTAAAAGCAAAGAGAATAAATTCAAATTTCATCACTTCCTAGTCTTCTTACTATAGTCTCCTATTATCTATCTCCTCTTGGTAGGAAATCCAGTTAATAGCGATGCATCTCTTCTCCAGTGTCACATCCATAGAGGAAAAAGGTCATAGGGGGAGTATTTACACTCAAGCAAATGGCATACCTTACAAATAAGATGATTCATTTATTAAGAGTTAGAGTCGTTTTTAAGCATTTACCAGTATGCCACTCCTTCAACTCATTTGTCTAGACACTTTGGCTAATGTTTTTTTTTTCAGGCATCCAAAAGCCCAGAGCAGTGTGAAGAGGTAGTTGACAATGAGACTATTGGAATCACACTCCCTCATTTTGATTTTGACCTTCACTATTTCACTACAACTTTATGCTAGTTACTAACCCTTTTTCACTGTTTCTACAGAACAAAATTACAGAAAGACTATATAATAGGTAAGATTTCCAGTGAAGCTTGGAGGAGCTACTAGTGACATATAGAACAATCTCCAAAACATAGTTTGCTTTACAATCATTTCTAATCCTACTTTAATCAGAATTATTAAAAATCAGGCATTAAGGGCAAACTTCGCCAAGCAGCTCTTTAATGTGTATAGAACTGATTCCAAGTTCTTAATTTTCAATATAGTAATATGGTAAGATAGTTTAATAAGATGCTTACTACTAGAATAACCTGAACCCAGCAATGAATTTCTCTTGGCTTTTCTTTGAATATATTGTTGAATTATATTTGCTGACAACTCCTTTTGTGTATTTCTCCATTATTAATAAATTATCTTATTTATAACTTTATTTTGTGTACTTTTTCAGGTTTTGGTCATCATAATGTAATGACATTGTGAGAGTCATCCAACAGTTTTATTTTTTCTGTTCTTCATTGAGTTTTAGTAGCCTTGGAAACACCTCTGAAAATTGCTGCAAAATTAGAAAGAACTTGCTTATGAAACTCTCAGATTTTGTAGCTCTATTGGCCCATGGCTATTTGACAACTTTCTCCAGTTGAATGATGCTCAGCTTTAGTTATATATTAGAATCACCTGGAGAACATTATAGATTATTGATGGTATATGTGGCCATGATATATTATTATTTTGATGTTAACCATTCCACAAAGTAAAACTATATCATAACACCACTGAACATACCATAAAAATATAGATTAGATAGATTAGATAGATAGAGTTATATCTCAATTAAATTCTTAACTGTTCATGACTGAAACCCTGTCAATAGCTTCCATTTTAATGCTATTGTATACAGCATGGGATATTTTTAAACAATGCAAGTGTCTATAATGTGGAGCTAATATACAGAACTACTGTAAACACTCATTTTGCTCAGCTACCAGTTTAATTTTGTCTCTCTTTTCAGCAGTCATCTGAAAAATGATCTCTTTCCCTGTGCTTTCCAACTATCACAGAATTATCTGGAAGGGGGTGAGGTGCTAGTCCTGGGGCTTAAGTTCAGGGCCTCAGAACTGTCCCGGAACTTCTTTTGCTCAAGGCTAGTGCTCTGCCACTTGAGCCACAGTTCCACTTCTGGGTTTGTTTGTTTGTTTGGTAGTTTATTGGAGGTAAGAGTGTCAGACTTTCCTGCGTGCTCTAGTGTTAAAGCACGATCCTCAGATCTAAGCCACCTGTGTAGCTAGGATTACAGGCATGAACCACTAGCACCCAGCATCACAGAATTTTTTGAAGCACTGTTACACAACTATTATTTTTCCTACGAATCTAGTCCCACTCAATGAGGTTACACAGTAAAGCAAAGTTTCTATTCTAAATAGGAAAATGTTGCTATTTAAAGAGGTCTCTCAGATTCTCCCCTGTCTTCCTCAAGAATTTGTTACATGGTTCCTCCATCCTCTACCATCCTGTTTGTATATGGTCACAGACCTGCCAGTGGATAACCATGGAAAGTTAGAGAACCTATCAAAACAATAGAAAGAGCAAAACACATCAGTGAGGGTGATGGGCAGAAATGAGAGGAAAACATCAAGTGATACTGGAGTTACTCTGGATATTATCAGTTAGGATGGTCAGCATGCCATTGCAACCTCACGGACTGTGCAAGTCAAAGAGATAACTCTGGTGTAAGCTTCAGATATGGATCACAATGATGAGTCGATGTAAATATATGAATAGACCACAGTGTACCATTATGCTGTAGGCAGGGTAGTGGCAGATGCAGAAATAAGGGAAATCTGCTCAGTTTTGCTGTTACTGGAAAACTGCTCTCAATGAGAAAGCCTATCTAGAATATTCCAGGACTGGATACAAAATTTCAAGAGCAATCTGGCTAACTTCACTTTCCTAGGTTTGGGATATGGTTCCATTCCTGTAGCTTAAATAACATGGACATATCTGTGACCCTGGTGCAACCAGTTCCTATGGTTTCATGCAATTTTAATTTACAGTCAATTCTATTCATTTGACCCCTGACCTCTTTTTATAGAAGTGAATAAGCTACCTGCTAGGTACCCACTAGGTAGCTAACTTGCTTATGACTTTCTTGTCTTCCATCTTCAAATAGGTCCCACAATGTGGATGCAAAGAATACTAGCACAGTCACAGAGTTCATCCTTGTGGGCTTTGAGAAGAGCTCCCCTTACACACGGGCATTCCTCTTCACCCTCTTCCTAGTCCTCTACAGCCTCGCCATGGCCATGAACGGCCTCATCATCTTCATCACCTGGACAGACCCCAGGCTCAACAGCCCCATGTACTTCTTCCTCGGCCACCTCTCTTTGCTGGATGTCTGCTTCATCACCACCACCATCCCACAGATGCTGGTCCACCTGCTGACCAGGAACCACACTGTCTTGTTCTCCTCCTGTTTGACTCAGATGTATCTGGTGTTTGGTGTGGGTGTGGCGGAGTGCATCCTCTTGGCCTTCATGGCCTATGATCGCTATGTTGCTATCTGCCACCCACTCAACTATGCTCAGATCATGAGGCGGCAGGTCTGTGTCAGCCTGGTGAGTACTTCCTGGATCTTTGGGATGATCAATGGCATCCTTCTTGATTACATGACATTTCGAGGTCCATTCTGCAGGGACAATCACATTGAGAACTTCTTCTGTGAGGCCCCCATAGTGATCGCCCTCTCCTGTGGAGACCCCCAGTTCAGTCTGATGGTGATCTTTGCTGATGCAGTTGTGGTGCTGCTGAGCCCCATGGTGCTCATTGTCACCTCCTATGCCCGCATCCTGGCCTCCATCCTCAGCAAAGCCTCCTCCTCAGGTCGGGGAAAGACCTTCTCCACGTGTGCCTCCCACCTGACTGTGGTCATCTTTTTCTACACCTCGGCTATGTTCTCTTACATGAATCCCCGCAGCACTCATGGGCCTGACAAAGACAAGCCTTTCTCCCTCCTCTACACCATCATCACCCCTATGTGCAACCCCATCATCTATAGTTTCCGCAACAAGGAAATGAAGGGGGCCATGGGGAGAGCCCTCAAGAGAACTGGCCCAGCCCAGGCAGAATCTGTCTAGTAGACATGGCCATGGAGAAGAGGCCTGATTTCCTAGTGTGGAGGTAGTTACCACTTCTCCCAACTCAAAATGTAAATCCGCTGTACTGAAAGGCTTCAGGAAAAGAGCGTCCATGGATTTCTTGGTACCAGAGCTAGACTTGGAAGTTTCTCCTAATGTCTAAAGCTCATCTGTCTGATTTTACTTCCAGTGTAAGTTGGGAAGAGTTCTCCTTGCACGCGGCATTCCTCTTCACCCTCTTCTTAGCCCCTTACAGCCTCATCATGGCCTTGAATAGCATCATCATCTTCATCACCTGGACAGACGCCAGGCTCAGACAGATCCCAGTCCCCTGTGTACCTCCTCCTTGGCCACCTGTCTTTGCAGGGTATCTGTTTCATGATTAGTTTTAGTAATACACTTCCATCATAGAATAGATAGATATTTCATAGCTTGAGGAGAGGCAGGCATGGTTCTCAAGAAAAAGTGATTGAAAAAGACAACCAGACTATGCCTTTAAGAGCATTTGATTCAAGGGGAGAAATCAGTTAGTAGTGCTTTGCTTTGGAAAAAGAGTAGATTAAATACACAGAGGATAGATATAAACAGTAGGTTGGAGAAAAAAACCACTGTGATGTATATGATTATATCCATGGATAGTAGTCCCAGTGTTCTTTAGGTTTCATGGGGTGGGGGGAATCAGATTTAACCAATGAGTTTATATTATTTGTCAAAGCCAGCAAGAGGAAGTATTGTATACCAATTAGGTATGGATTGTTGATTAACACAGAGGGCAGAAGTAAGAGAAGACAGCCTGAAAACACCAAGTTTTCCAAGTTGTACATGGACCATAGAGCTATATAACAAAATATCTTAAGGTCAGGGTATCATTGAGTGGCATTTGCCTTGTATAAGAATAGAACAAGGACACTTGAACTTCTTTGCATATTTATATGCAAATGATTTCAATTATTCACATAAAGGCTTAACAGATAATTGATTGCCATCAAACACCACCAAAACTTTCTCCATTTGGAGCTTTTTAACCACTGGCCTTGGTGTTTGTTGTATATATAGTCTAGAAGCATTCATTTTATCTCTTGTGTTGTTCACAATGCATTCATTCCTTCACACTCTCTTCCCACATCTCTAATTTCATTGTCTCTACTCTTACTCCTTCATCTATGGTGCAAAATGAAGTTGTCCACCAGGGATGAGATCACCTCTAAAAGGATATTTGACAATGTCTTCAGACATTTTTGGAGATCCCATTTGGAGGAAAGTTTAGGCTATAGGCATCTAGAGAGCACAGGCCAGGGATGCTATTAAACACTCCCAAACACACTGGAGAATCTCTACATTACACACACACACACACACACACACACACACACACACACACACAGCCTACTTGTTGATAGTGCTATGGTTGAAAACTGGTATGAAAAAGGCAAAAAAAAAAAGATGAGAAATTTTCAAATGGGAAGAAGAGTAACAGAAGGAAACCTATAAGAAAAGAGAATGCAGAAATCTATCTGCAAAGTCACTATCCAGTTGCTTGTAGATAGGATTTGTGCTGGTATTGCCCTGGTAACCAATGCTCTCTGTAAGTAGTTGTGATACCAAAAAAAAAATCTTTCCAGGTAATAGTAACTCAAGCCTATAATCCTAGCTATTCAGGAGGCTGCAATCTGAGGATCATGGTTTCAAAGCCAGCCTGGGCAGGAAAGTCTATGAGACTCTTATTTCCAATTAACCACCAGGGAACCAGAAATGGAGCTGTGGCTCAAAGTGGTGCTAGCCTTGAACAAAAGAGCTTAGGGACAATGCCCAGGCCCTGAGCTCAAGCCCTATGACTGCACCCCTCCAATCTTCTTTTAAACCTCTGTGTTTATGTATATCAGAACCAAAGCCTACTACTCCAATATATACAGATTATGGGACTGTTCTTATCTAGTCATCTTCTTCCATCTCCCACTAGCTTAGATTTTTCACTCAAATTCTCTCCTTTCCCTAATCCAAACAAAATCATATCCACCCAGTGGTTCTTTCTTTTTTTGGAGGGGAGGGGTCTAGTCGTGGGGCCTGAACTCTGGGCCTGGACGCTGTCCCTCAGCTCTTCAGCTCAGGGCTAGTGCTCTACCACTTGAGACACAGCACCACTTCTGCCCTTTTTTTTTCTGCTTATGTGGTGCTGAGGAATTGAACCCAGGGCCTCATGCATGCAAGGCAAGCACTCTACCACTGAGCCACCTTCCCAGCCCCCAGTGGTTCTTTCTACATGCTCACAATTTCACATTCCTAGCTGGCTCACTCCCACCTGTTGACTTTTCTCGTCTTCACTGGGGCTTCAACAAATGCTATTCAATGCCCTCTGTGGCTTCTTATGGGAAATCTTTCTGGAATTTCAACAGTTTTTCCAGTTTATCTTCCCATCTCCTTCCCTTCCCCAGCACATAAACTTAAGCTATCATATCATGGCATTTCACTTCTCCCCCTCCCAGCTGAAAATGACAATTGCTTCTTTTGTCAAGTAATTTTCCTCATCCTAATACCTCCTACATAGGAAATGTGTTCCACGTACCCAGAAGAGTCTGCTCTACATTTCCCGTGTGCTGGATATTTCTTCTTATACTCTAAAAACAAATAACACACTTCTCTCCCCAGATCTGGGCCATACTAGGCACTCTACTACTGACTGTTAGTGCTTTTGATTGCCTTTGATTTCTAGTTGAGTTCAACTAATTCCAGCTGCTAGCAGAAATCAGAAGGCCAGGAGGACATTCTGTGAGGAATTCATTCTCCCGCTGCTTTCCTTGGTCATCCACATCCTATGAGCTTGGCCTTTAGCTACAGATACCTCTGCGCCCTTCCCTGTCCTTTTATTTTATTTTATTTTTTTTGGGTCCAGTCATGGGGCCTGAACTCTGGGCCTGGGTGCTGTCCCTCAGCTCTTCAGCTCAAGGCTAGTGCTCTACCACTTGAGCCATAGCGCCACTTCTGACTTTTTTCTTTTTGCTTATGTGGTGCTGGGGAATCGAACCCAGGGCCTCAGGCACGCAAGGCAAGCACTCTACCACTGAGCCACCTTCCCAGCTCTCCCTGTCCTTTTAAAGGTGATATATATTCCTTATAATGTAGCCCCTGGGTGCTTCACTCCCCCTAGTTGAGTCGCCTCATCTTGACTATATTTCTGTACAGTCTTTAATTGTCTAGTTAAAGGTGTCATTCCCTTCCTTACAATACACTGATTAATTCAGTAAAATTGGTACATACTAGAGACAGAATCAACCACAAATGGGAAATTTCTCAGAACAAATCACATACTGTTTCACGGAGCCAATCATTCAAAGAATTAAAACCACACAGACCATAGTATCTGACTACAATGCAATTGTTAGACAGTGTAGTATATATACAGAATGGAAGTTTACTCACGCTTTACAGAGAATGATATTACATCATTTGCAAAGAATGGATGGGCCTGGAAGATCGTAATTGAAGTAAGTCAGGCTCTAAGAGACAAATGAGGCATGTTTTCTCTTATATTTGGAAGTAAGATCTAACATACAAGCAAACATACATATGAGAGGGTGTACAGTGTATGAATCAAAGTAAGGTCTATGCAGGAGATAGTTCAAAAGGTGTAACTCCATGGAAAAGCTAACTCATTGTCTAATAAAATGAATACCAGGAAGCTGGGTATGTGTATGATGGTGTCAAAGGGAAAGGGGGGAGACAAATGGAGAGGAAGTGGGAATCCAGTCATAATCTTCAATGCACATCCCATGAAAAGAAGAAAATTGTGGAGAAGAATGTGGAAGAATGATGAAAGGGATGATACTGATCAAGTTGCGTTGTACTTATAAACTGATATGTGGAATGGTAACCATTAATAATAAGAACTCTCATTTTTGGAAATTAATATGGATACTCGAACCAAAAGATAAAGAATAAGCTATAAGTGCAGTCTAACAATAAAGAGTACAAATCTTGGAATACTTGCCTGCCATCACTACCCAAATGAGGAAGACTGGACAAACTGAATCACAACTGTTCTGTTTAGATTCAGCAGATCATGAAAGTCTCAGAGCAAATTATCAACCAAACACTGGGACAAGGTGATCAGAGTTTCACAGTTTGCTGAGAGCCCAAGCCAGCTGGAGGCTGGTAGGAATAGTGAAAAAGGCAATTAACTATAGAAGCACTGGTTGTTCATGCCTGTAATCCTGGCTACTCAGGAGACTGAGATCTGAGGATCAAGGTTTGAAGCCAGCAAGGCAAAAAAAAGTTTGTCAGGCTCGTATCACAATGAACCAGCAAAAAGCTGGAGCTGAGGTATATAGTTCAAAAGGTGTAACTCCATGGAAAAGCTAACTCATTGTCTAATAAAATGAATACCAGAAAGTGGCAAAAAGTGGAGCTGAGGCTCAAGTAGTAAATTGTCAGCCTTAAGAAGAAAAGCCAAGCAAAGTCTTGAATTTAAGCCCTAGTATTGACACACACAAAACAAATTCTATTCTAGCTATTTTAGAATATATGATGCATTATTACTAGTTCCCCACATGCTACTACACAATGACTTATTCCTCTTTTCTACTTGAAAGTTTGCATCCATTGCTCCATCTCTCATCTTTCCTTCCTCTTCTCCTCTCTAGTCTCTTGTAAGGATCATCTACTCTCTACTATCATGCAGTTAGCAGTTTCCCATTCTACAGAGGAGTGAGAGAAGATACCATTCTGAAAAGTCTCCAAATATAAAATAGGAACAATTCTAATTTTACAAAGGCCACTGTAACCTAGTTGCCAGTAGTTCATGCTTGTAATCCTCACTATTTAGGAAGCTGAGATCTAAGGACAGCAATTTGAAGTCAGCCTAGGCAAGAAAATCTGTGAGATTTTTATCTCCAATTAATTACCCAAAAACTGGAAGTGGAGTTGTGGCTTAAGTGGTAGAGCGCACACTATGAGCACAAAGCTCGGGGCAGTGCCCAGGCCCTGAGTTCAAGCCCCAGAACCAGCTACTCCCTCCTTCCAAAAAAGAAAGAACAACTTATTAGAAAAGTATGCTCCATCAAGGATCTTTGTCTATCAGTTTATTGAATTATCAGTTAATATATGGCTCTGATACAGGACCATTTGGGATAAACCTAATATAATGATATAAGAAAATATCTAATTGGGGCACAAGTCCTAGTAATTAAGTCAGCAGAGACCCAGGAAGAAAATTAAAATTCAAAGTTAAATTGGGAAGTAGGTGTACAAGAGTTAAAGGACTTGAAGTTGGAGGCTGAGGATAATAGTTGCAAGTTCTCTATAAATGTATCTGATAGAAGGCACACAAATTTCCTAGGAAAATCTGAGACTGTGCTAGGTCTATCAGGTCAC